ATTATCCCATATCCCATTTATTCCGTCGCTAGTTCATTTTGTAGTAACATTATCCCGTAGTTATACTTACCATGAAGATATTTATCTTGGAAGCTATGCCGATTACGAAGGCTGCGTTTTCCATATAGTAGTTATTCGTGACAACGATCGCACACCATGCAGAATCAGGCCGCACTCTAATGCTCTCTCTCTCTCGATCTCTCTCTCTCTCTCTCTCTCTCTCTCTCTCTCTCTCTCTCTCTCTCTCTCACGCTGACAAATTACTCAACATTCGATGTCCGAAATACTGATGTCGCCAGGGCGCGCTTGTGCAGATCTTTCAAATCAATGTCCACGCGATGACATAATGCGCACGCGCGTCTTCGTTTGGCTGCATTCCCTTTATACGTTAGCCCACGCTCTGGCACTGAGTGTGCGCGCCCGAGCGCGCGGATTTCCAGTCATCTGTTTCTGATGCCAATCAACGTCATTAAGGCGAATTCGATTCGCGTGCATATATTAATACTAATGTCAGGCGGGTTAAAGAGGGGCTTATGTCGGGCTTGCGAGCCGACTCGACTGGAAGCAACTGGATTTCGAGCAACAGCGATCGGCAGCGACTAGTTGCGTCCAGTTGCCACTGTTCTATTCTGAGCAACTAGTGGCGGCCAGTCGCAGGCAATCGCGTCGCAGTCCACCGACCTAAGCACTGCAGTCGCAGTGAATTGCAGCCAGTTGCTTCCAGTCGAGTTGGCTCGCAAGCCTCGATATAAGCCCCCTTTTAACCCTTTAATGGTTGCATTGCGCGTGTGTGCACGCGTCGAGTGAGTGCGTCGAAACGGAAAATTAAATACGCCATGCGAAATTTTGCAGACGCGCACTTTAGAAACGTTCCAATATTTATAATACATTCGAGTACATGCTTTCAATATTACGCATGACGTATTTGCATCGCGCCAACGCAGTATAAATGTTTTTTTCATGCGCTATGTTTTTTTCACTTGCACTCGCGATCTACCTACGATTTGGTACGCGCGAGCGAAAGCGCGACACCGAGCGAGAGCGAACGCGCATGCCCGCATAACAGCATCGCAATTTCATTGTAACACTATGTACACAAGTGGGCATATATATATATATACGTGCACGCCATGTTCGTGTCTAAACGCCATATTCGTGTTTAAGCGCCATGTTCGTAAACTAAACGCATTTCTCACTACAAGCGCGTCCCATCACTTACTATAGAGACAGGCTATAGGAGATAGGAGATAGGAGTGCATTATAGCAGATGAAACTTACGTACACTCGACAGACGCGCATCGATGCTACGTCTTTGTCTCTGCACACAACGATCAACGCGGACGACTTCGCGTAGGTTGAAACGTAACCGCTGACATGTTTGCCAGCGTGATGCAAGTGCTGCTTGTCAACGTGTTTTCGTCACGAATGACGCGGCAATCTAATGTTGATGGATCTGTTTATCTGTTTCCGCAACTTGTTTACTAAGCTATACACCTCCGCGGAAATATTCGACAGCACTGCACGGCGCATATAGCCGGTGCAAGATGCTTCATAGCTAACGATATATCTGAATTACACGCTGAAAACACACGAAGCTGGCACGACCCCGTTCCGTAGGCGGCTAGATCGACGACTATAGATACAGTTATTTGTTCGGTGCGTGTGTGTGTGTGTGTGTTGTTGTCGTGGTGTGTGTGTGTGTGTGTGTGTGTGTGTGTGTGTGTGTGTGTGTGGGGCGTGTGTGTGTGTGTATGTGTGTGTGTGCTGTGTGTGTGTGTGTGTTGTGTGTGTGTGTGTGGTGTTGTGGTGTGTATGTGTGTGTGTGTGTGTGTGTGTTGTGGTGTGTGTGTTGGTGTGTGTGTGTGTGTGTGTGTGTGTGTGCGTGTGTGTGTGTGCATGTGTGTGTGTGTGTGTGTGTGTGTGTGTGGTTGTTGTTCGCTTCAGTTCGGTTCGTTATTGTTCGGTGCGAATAAGTGATGCACCTAAACAGCACGCGTGTGTCTGTAGAGTGGAATATATGGTTCGTGGACAGTAGAACGTAACAGTTGTATAAACGGTGACAATTACAGTTTTATTACAAACACGGATAAAAACAGTGTACACGTACCGATCAGAGGTTGCCTTCGTCTGCCCCCCCCCCTTCTCCTAAAACCCATCCTTACTACGCGGTACTACATGTCTGATTGGGGCATGGCGGCTTACGGCAGAGAAACGAGGCACGTGTGTGTCGAGTAGGTGCATGGCAGGGGGACAGTCGATAGACAACACCGAACGGTAGGCCCAGAGACAATAGTACACTAATAATTCTAATAGTCAATAATAACACAATTAATAATAACAATTAATAATAACAATTTTATTAATACAAATTAATTAATAACAATAATTAACAATAACAATAATAACACAATATTAACACTAATAGTCACTAATCTGTTCTAGGGTCTCTGGTAGGCCTACGTGATGTGTACGTGTTCGTGTGCGTGTGTGCGTGCGTGTGGGCGTGCATATGTGCGTGCGTTTGTGCGCGTCTGTATGTGTGTGTGTGTGTGTGTGTGTGTGTGTGTGTGTGTGTGTGTGCGTGCGCGCGCGTGCGTGTGTGTGTGCGTGTGTGTGCGTGCGTGCGTGTGTGCATGTGCATGTCAACCTCTACCACTTCTCTACTCACCGGTTGATAAGACGTGTGATTGGTAACCAACGGTGACTATAGACTACGAATTATTCGGGTTATAAATGGAAAACTCTCGTCTTCTACGAGCGAGGAACCTGCGCGTATGTGCTGTCCCAGCACACTGACTCGCAGGGAGTTTGTGTACATTCAAAGCATTCCACTAAAGAAACGCTTCTCCTTCTCTGAGTTTATATCACAGCTTATAAATGAAGCTTCATGTGGTAATAATGAAGCGCCAACAGGGAATATCACACGCAAATACCTGCCAGGCAATACGGGCGTGTTGTCTTTCATATGATACTATAAGATCAAGGTTTATTATTCCATATGAAAACAAAATTTTTATGAATATTGATGCGGTAATACAAAGCCTCTAATTAACATAATTCGTAATTGAGGTTTTCGTGCGAAAAATTTTACAAATTGTTTAAAAATAACTTAATTTGTTTCTGTTATAATTGTTTACAGTTAGTCATTAACTAAAAATAACCAATAATTCATTATGAAAATAATTTTAGCGCAAAACCTAATTAAAGAACCAATTATAGGCATGTGCCATACTGTCCGTCATTCAACTGTTGTAATCATATTTGGATATAAATTGCAGGGGCTATAATATATCGATATTGCGTCATGAGGAATATCAACGCATGCTAATAGAATATCAAAGACAATTTCTAAAGACATTTCTATTATAGACTCTTGATAATATATGTTGCCACACTGCATAAACATAACACAGTAATAAATTTCGTACGCGTAAATAAAATGAACCATTCGTTGGTACAGCTCGCTAGTCCGACGGCCCAATAGTCCGAAAGCCCACTAGTCTGAAAGCCCACTAGTCCGAAACCCCACTAGTCCGAAAACCCACAGGGATGGAGGGGTACCGATCTATACCTAATGTTTAATTAATTAATTAATTAATTATTAATTATTAATTAAATAAATAATTAATAAATTTTTAATTTTAATTATAATTATAATTTTTTTCCCATTTTTTTTTAATCTTAATTTTTTTTAGACGATGCAGGGGGAGGTGTGTGTGTGGGGGCTAGATGTGTGGATGTGTGGCAAAATTGTAGACTACGGTAAAACCTCATTATACCGCCCGTCGTAATACCGCCAATCTCACTTATCGCCGCCAGCTTTATGGTTATGTACAATCCTATATAAACGCATTGAGTAGAACATGTGCGACTCGCTGCGACTGCGCTGCGACTGACAATTTTCCACTCGCAGACCCGTCGCTGACAGTCGCAGGGGTGCTTATGTCGAACTTTCTCTGCGCCGCGATCGTCGCTGCGACTTTTATAACCAGATGAGACGGGATACTAGAGAAGCGTTGCCGAAAGGAGGTGTTAATCCCAAGCGCTATACGCGCAGATCCTGCGCGCAGTTCCGCGGCAAGGCGCACGCGACCGCGGCAACGTCGCGCGCGACTACGAAGTGCTGGCAGCTATGGATCGTGCGCCGAATGCATACGTCGGCGCACGGATCCATAGCTGCCAGCGAAGAGTCGACAATTTTAGGGCCAATACAATGAACTGGCGCAGGTGCATTGGAATTGGAATTTCAAGGTGATATAAGGGAAATGAACAAAAGTAGAGTGAAAACAGTACATTTCGTGGTGTTTTTGATTACCATGGCATGTACTCCGTATTGTTGTACCTCGAATACCTGGAAGCGAGTAGTTAGCGTCGAAAACACAATGTCATCTGTTCACCGAATCTGAGCTAACTACGAAAAACCTCACATATTTCAAAGTAAGAATGGCCACAAAACGGCACCCGGCAACTGGGCGATTTGCCAGTTTTGGTGAAATGATGAAAAAGAACGAGTTAGTAAATCGGTTACGGTTACGAAGTACGCGTAGGCGACTGATGATAGTTGTTAGTGCAGTACGCCACGTACGGTCACGCATATTACGTGCATTACGTTATTGTATTATTATTCGTATTATCAGTTTTATTATTATTATTGTTATTCTGATTATTATTGCTTTGGTTATTGCTATATAACACTATACTCCGCAGTTGACACAACGAAGTCTTCAGCCAGGAGGAATGTGGTGTAGAGCAGAAGCACAGTTTCTACAATTTCAGTCGTCTGTTAAACCTCAACCGATACGTGCAAGAATGTGGGATTATGAGAGTTGCAGGGAAATTGAAGTTTGCGCAGCTACACTTCGAACAACGTCACCCCGTTGTGCTGTGTGCAACGTCACATATATGTACACTGTTGGTTACACACTACCACGAATAGCTGCAACATGTTCAGTAAAAATGTTATGTTCATGTGTATTGTATTGTGATATGCAGTAGAAATGTTAAAGTCAATGACCAGCTTGCTTTATTAAAGAGTGGAGTTATGATTGCTGTTCTCATTGGATTACGAGCAAAAGCAAACATGAAAAATGCATGAACAGGTGTTACCAGTTCCAAGGAACATGCGCGGCACGCCTACAGGCTTACAGTAAAAACTATAAGTCTATATTAAGAGCGAAGCTATATTACCTGGCTCCGTACGTGCGAGGTTTTTATCAACCTCTTCACCCCGCGCTCCCCGTGGCAACTTCGTCTACCCCTGCGGTCGAGGGGAGGCCGTCATTGCTGTACGTTGTGCAGAAAAACTTTGCAGAAAAACTTCGAACTCGCCTGCTCGCAGTTTAATATAAACGTAAACATAAACGTCCACGCACACATAAACGTACACACACATGGCCGTGCGCACGCACGAAGGAACGCACGTATATACGCACGCGGCGTATTGCCGGTTATTGGCGGTTCATTCGCACAACGTGTGGGCGTTTGCCGCTCAAATGCATAAGCCTACCGAATTTCGGGAATTCTGTTTGAAATATGCAAAGCGCTAGCACTTATTCATGCACGTAGGCAAAATGCACACAATGGTTTGAACGTTAACTCACTGAATGTAATGGGAATGTGAATTTCTCCGAATAATAGAAATCGCTCAGATATGAAGGTATGGGTGGGGGACATAACATAAATGACCGACAAGACGGCATGATCAGCGGCGGATCACAGCGGCGGCGGCCGACAACACGGCACATTTTATATATATTGGAAGCTGAACATGTCAAGAAATGACGGAGAAAATAGCGAGTTACTGCCTTCATGAATTGTGATATTGCGCGGAGAACGGTTGTGGCGCATTGGCGGTTAATTACAAAGCTACCGAATTGCGCGAAAGATGTGTTGAATAGTAAAACCGCAAGCCGCTATTCATGCACGTACGAGATGTGAATAGATGATTTGACGACCTCGACATACCAATATACGTTACCACTACATACGAATAGGAATACGTTACGTATACGAATACGAATACGTATACATACGAATACGTTACGAATACATACTCGACATACGAATATAGCATACGAATATATGTTAAATATATATGACATATATCATATATGAGTTGCCATTTACACACATATACATGATATAGATACAACATTATGTAAGAACTACCATGTATCCATACTACATATACATATACATATCCATGTATGCAGCATGTAGGATAGGTATACATACGAATACGTTACGAATACAATACTGGACAATACGAATATACCATAGGAATATATGTTACATAGATATTACATAAACCTACGCTATAATTGCAGATGTATTGCAAGCTGAATATATAGATATATATATATACATATATATATACCACACACATGATATCCACGACGGACAACACAGTATAATGAAGACGATGTTATGCTTATGAAGACGACGTTTACGTGCATATCTCAATCGATTATTTGATCACGTTCACAATTAAACCTTGGCATTTCCACACATATACATGATATAGATACAACATTATGTAAGAACTACACGATGACTATTCGAAGGTTCACTCACCTATGGAAAGAAATGTATCCTTCTTCGACGACTCACATGGAACAACCGTAGACTTACACAAGAGCGCACTACAACAGCGTGGCATGACACATTCATGCATGCAACATCGATGGGTATGTACGTCATCATCGCAAACCTGTGGGGGGTCAACAGGTTCAAAAGGAGAAGGAAGATGGCTACGATAACGAACACGCGATGTCACGATTCCAGGTTAGACTCGCACGGACCTTAATTCGGGCAAGTCTGTTTCGCTACACTAAAGTTATAGTTACTGCAGCGTGTGAAATTCTCGACCGCGCGCCAGTCTAACTAAAATTGTCTGCGAAATGCCTCCAAGAGAGCCTCGTGGCGCGATCTATGGGCCGCGATATGTACCAGAATAACTTCAGGGCGTTAAATTAAATAAATTCGAAATCGTTTTTATAGGAAAAAACGTACCGCGCGAAGAAAAAACAACACCAATTACGACCACTCAATTTATTCTCGCCCTACGTGGAAAGTCGAAAAGCTTGTGCTAGCCCCAGAACTGCTCAATTCACGGATTATACGGCTTTGGCTTATACTAGGACCCGTTGAAGCTAATAGCTCCTGGATAAAGGCAGCGAATACGTAAAAGATTGCCGCTGCGCGGCGTTGCGCGCTTCGCGCGGATATCTGCTGCGGAACGTCCAGTTGCAGAAAATCAGTCGCAATGCAATCGCGTCGCGTCGCAAGGCTGCAAGCCTTTTGGTTGGTCGTCGCTGCAACCTGCAACCGCATGCGATCGGCCGCACGCTTCACCGTGTGTATGCGATTTCGAAGCAATTTCGACTGCGATTCTAGAATCCCAGCCGAGTTTGGTCCTGCTTTTGGTTAGTGCATATCGTATTATCACGAGTGTTACTAAGAGATCTATATTACATAAATTAGATATATAAATATATATATACATATATAACATATATAGATAGATGTAGATATATATCTATATTATACAGTCCTGATATTTGCATACGCACACATGCACGCGCTCACGCACACACCCACGCACACACACACAAACATTAAAATTTAAATTTAAAAATTTAAAATTTAAATTAAAAATTTAAATCATAAAGTAAAATTAAAATTAGAAATTAATTAATTAATTAATTAATTAAAAAATAAATAATTAATTAATTAATTAAACATTAGAACTATAGATCGATACCCCATCCCCTGTGGGTTTTCGGACTAGTGGGCTTTCGGACAAGTGGGTTTTCGGACTATTGGGCCGTCGGACTAGCGAGCAGTCACCGTTGTGAAGATGCAGTTCCAGAATGTAAACACCAGTGTTCATTTGCATTTCGTAAAACCTTGTTATCATGAACGCATCTCGCCGACTCGAGCTAATGCTGCCCGTTATTAATACGCTTATGGTTTCTAGAAAAAACTTTTTCCTTCGGAGGAAACCTATTTAGTTAGTTACATCTGCCGCTCCGTACGTATGTCAATTACCATAAGCTCGCTGCTGCGTCGAATACAAATTAAATTTTGTTTCGCAAACGGTACATTGTGATCGCTAATAACAACGCGCAGTGCGAATTTGGAACATAAACAATTTCTGATTGTCAGTCAGCTTGCCTGTTGTGGTGGTTTGCCACGAGTGTAGGTGTCGACTGGTTCTGTGTATTATCTATATCTCACATTACAAACTGATCGATTCCGCGCTGTCCCCCCACACATAGCCTCCCTCGTGAACGTACTCTAGCTTTGTCTATCTCTTCCACCGCTATTTCAAGTTTCTCACCCCTTCTCCACCTCATACTCTTCCTCGTCGACGTTCTTCTGCTCTTCCTCCTTCTCCTCCCCCTCCTCATCCTTTTCATCCTCTCCCCTCCCTTCTCCTCTCCTCCTTCTCCTCCCATTCTTATATCCCATCTGCCTTCTTCTCCTCCTCCTCCTCCTCTTCCTTCTCCTCCCCCTCCTCATCCTTCTCCTCCTCATCCTTCTCCTCCTCTTCCCTCCCTTCTCCTCTCTTCCTTCTCCACCCATTCTTATATCCCATCTGTCTTCTTCTCTTCCTCCTCTTTCTCTTGCTTCTCCGCCCCCCCCGTCCGTCTCCTTCTCTCATTGCGCTTTGCTTGATCATCCTTCTAGCATCAGTGGGTGTACCAGTTGAGAAAAAGGACTTCAAACCGCTCTATTTTCTCATGCAACTAGAATACCACATTGTTTGCGATCACCCGAGACCAATGATTCATCGAAGAACGCACATAACTCAACGCGTTCATCTATGCGTCCGTCGTAACGTCTTCACGGACGGTTCTATAGAAGAATAGCGTCTCTATTTGTCGTATGTACGACTTCAGGCATCTGTATATAGTGAGCTATACAGTACAACCTCCTGTTAAAGTGTATAATGTTGACCTATCGCGCATATGACTGTACGTGAATGCAGGACACGCTATATACAGTGTACGCACACCGGCTGAGACCCTCGCGGTATTGTGGCGTCAAACAGACCTCTACGCCAGTCGCTCTCGTCTCTACATTTCCGAGACTACACTAGACAAACTGCAGCCGGATAAACGCGCGAAGCGCGAACAGCGCCACCTGTGGCGCCATCTATGGACAACTCGCTGCCCTATATTAGAATACTTTTCACGAGGCCTTTTAGGTATAGGATAAAGCCGTAGAATCGGTCAATTCAGCAGTTCTGGCCATTGCAGAAGTCTTTCGGCTCTGCACGTAGGGCGCGAATAAATCCAATGGTCGCCAAGAGATTGGTTCTAAGATAGAGAACATGGCTCCCAATGATTATATGGGCCCCACATGTATGGCATGGGGGAATAAACCAATGTCATTTACATCAATAATAAAGTCTAATATTATATCAATATATAGGTTAGGGTTCGTCCATTATAGTAAGCTTAATTAGCTACTACTAGTAAGCAGAGTTACGTCATTGATTACTATTACTATTATATTTAGCTCGTGCGTCCTGGTAGTCTACTAGTAGCTCGTACTAGGTAACTTAGTAGTAGTACTACTCCCAGTAGTAGTACTTCAGTAAAGTATTATGTGTATACATGTACTGTGTTAGTAATACCAAGTATTCCTAGCCGGTAGGTGTGGAATGTAATAGCAGTCTTAATGTGCCGCTAGTCTGAGTCCTAAACAACTGAAACATCGTCAACACATCAATGGCTAAACATCAGAACATAGCTTGGACCGCCTCTATCGCTCAAAGTTCACATTAGCGGCAGTGCCGAGCGCAGGGCTAGACGGCTAGCCGACCTTGCATCAGCGAACTCCCCATCCGTTGGCTAGCCTGAAGTGAGTTTACGCTAGCGTGTCGAATCTGTGCACGCACCGGTCAGTCTCAGGTCATGCAGGCCGAGCGTTTCTTTAAAAAACTCTGTAAAATCTGACGTAGATGGACTCGTAGCGGCCATCTATGGGTGGCGTAACTTCCAAATTAATGTCAGGGCATTAAATCAGCGAAAGGAAAATTATTTTTATACCACGAAAAGCACGCGCGGCCGAGCCACTAAAGCAACAAAAACCTGATTATNGTTGTGGCTTGCCCGTCGGTCGGCTGCAGGAAGCTAAACAATTCCAGACCAGATTTCCGTAATTCGTGAAATGAACGTCTCACTCTCGTGTGTCGTAAACGCGTTCCGTGGTGTGAATGTGTGTGCGTTGAGCGCTGCGTGCAGCGACTGTAGTGTCGTTAGCGCGTGTGTGCGACGTCGTGTGCGTGAAGCGCGCTTATGTGTGGCTCGCCCGTGTGTGCTGTGAGCGCGTAGAGTGGCTGTGCGCGTGTGTGCGTTCGTGTGACGACGTTGGTCAGTGCGTGAGCGCGTTATGTGCCGGACCGTTGTGGCCGCTCGAGCCCCACTGTCTGAGCGCGTTGTGTGCGACGTGCTGTGCGTGTGCGCGTCGCTTGTGCGACGTGGTCGTGCCGTGAGCGCCGTCATGTGCCCAACGTGTGGTTGCGTGACGCGCGTCGTGTGTGATGTTGTGTTGTGAGCGCCAGTGCGTGCGACCTGACGCGTGCGTGTGAGCGCGTAGTTACGACGTGGGTGCGTTAGCGCGTTTGTGCTGCGGACGTGTGCGTTAGGCGCGTGTTGCGTGAGCCGCGTTTGGTACGGTACGTGTGTTCGCGTTAGCGCGTGGTGCGTGCTACGCGACGTGGTGTGTGTGGGACGTGTTGAAGTTGTGCGGTCGAGCGCGGTACATGCTGGCGACGTGGTGTGCTGTGAGCTTCTAAAACTACAGACCATAGCCGTGACCGCTGTGGCAGACGTGCGCCGGGCCTCGAATTGGCAGCCACGTCTCCGACTGCGCGGGCAGCGCTTCATATCTTGAACATCGTGGCCCGCGGTCGCGTGCGCATATCCCTGCGGAACAGCGCTGTCGTCCGGCCGCCGCTCAGCGCCTAATGATCAAACAGCCTGTGCAACGCAACCTTGTATGCATGTCTATCTGAGCGCTGACGCGGCGTGAAAGGGCGCAGCCCGATGATTGGCACGCAGTGCCACGCTTACACAGGCATCGCCCCCCACCCCTCTCACCAAAGTTTACATATAGGGCGCAGAGGCAGGGAATCGCTGATCTAACGTTCTGCCGCATCAATCTACTCGCGAACTGTCTTAATCGATAGCTAGTGGCTCGTTAACAAAAATCACCCGCTATTTAGCACGCTGCGCCCTCGAATTTCCTCCTAAAACTGCATTTTAGTGAGACCGTAAGCCCCGCCCATTATTCCTTATACGGCGTGCACGGCGGCACGGCGGCTCTGAGCCGAGGGCTTATCACGTTATCTGGCCATTTTGCAGACATCTGGTCGCCGCACAGTTGGGACGTGTTGGTTACTTGAGGTCAACGCGTTAACGCCTAGCCCAGACGCCTAGTCAATGTTTACATGCCGCAGCGCCATCTCTTGGATCATAAAAATAATGAAATGAAATTATAATGGTTATATAAAATGTAGGTTAAATGATAAATAACAATGATAAATAATGATAAATCATAGATGATAAATGATAAATGATAAATAATAAATAATGATAAATGATGGTTAAATGATAAATAACAATATTAAATTATAATGGTTAAATAAAATTAGCCAATCAGGCCGTCCCCCTAGCGGATCACTATCTCTCCATTGTGCAAAATCTTATGTTTACTTCTTCCTTAGTTAAGTTAGTCCATGTTTCACTGTTATTTAGGAAGAAAGGTAAAACTGTGTATTCGCATAATTTCACTCTTGCTTCTCTAGTATCATTTCCACAATTTTGGCTCTTTTGCCCATAATCATTATTTCCCTTAACCTACATTTTTCAGTTCGGACTCTTATCATAACGTTATAACCGGTGCAAATCCACTTTAGGCGCCTTAGCCTTAGGCTTAGGTATCACGAAATATCAAGGAATCATATCAATATACGTATATCAAGGAATGATGCAAAAATCTTTCTTTGTTTGTGAATTTTATATAACCATTCTATTTCTTTTGTTCATATTAAATTCTAATCTTTTTGATTCAGCTAATGTGGGGCTAAACCGACCAGGCTCTCCGACTGTTAGTACACGTCGTAGGAACAGTAGCTAGCCGATGTAGTGTTGAGAGAGAATGGAACTTGTGGCTAATCTGGAGAATGACTGAGCGATATTTTTACTGTTTTATAATCTCCAATTTCTA